CCTGGCCCTTTGCAGGGAGATGTCCATGTCACTGGCAACCCAAGTGGAAAAGAAAAATCTTTCGTCTTTACATTTTCTATTATGTATTTTAGAGAGTTGTGATGCCTGATACAGTAGCCACTGGCCACATGTGGCTTGACATGTGGCTAGTCAGAAAGGAAATGTGCTCTAAGTATAAAAACTATACACCAGGTTTCAAAGACTTAATATTTTAAAGGAAGGAAAATATCTCAATAATCATTTATATCAATTACAAGTTGATAATATTTGGTCTATTTGGTTAAGTTACATTATTAAGTGAATTTCATCTGTTTCTTCTTGCTTTTTAGAAATGTGGCTCACATTTGTGGCTTGTGTTAGATTCTGTTGGCGAGACACTAGAGAGAAGACCCCACATCCAAAATGGTTCCCGGCATGGCTGACCTTCCTGCCAGAGTCCGTGGGTACAAGTCCCACGTGCCTGGGGTGGAGCTCAAGGAGTTCATGTTACAGTGGGGCCATGCCTCTGAGGAGGTAGGGCCCCCGGAGCGCGCTCGTGAAAACTCAGCCTCGAGTCCAGCCCAGGAGGCAGCCCCAGGGAGCTGGGGACCAGGCTGGTCCTTGTGTGGTTTAGGGACAGGTAAAGCACTCACACTTTGTAACACTAGAACGCCTGTGGGCACAAGATGCCCACAACGCAGGGCCTCTTGTCTGCTGCACACTGCTTCTTCTGAACCATGCCCTCACCGCTTTGGAAGCCTGGAAGGTCACGACCAGCACCCGTTAGAATTTGTCTTTTTCTTTATTCCCCCCAAGCATGGAAGGGTGAAACGGCTGTAAGGTAAACAGTGTGTATGGAGAAGTTCTAGCGAATTTCATATACCCATCCCCATTTACTACTTATTAAAATTGGCTATTAGTATTCCATTATATTGCCCACATATGCAGTTTGACTATGTCCCTGTTGCTCAGCACTGGGGCTGGTTCCCTTTTCTCCTGCCGCCATAAACAGCAGTGCTATGAATATCTTTATCCTTTTTCCATTTGAATTATTTTATTGTAATGTTTTCCCTGAAGTGAAATTTGTTGGCTGGAAAGTGTATACAATTTTATGGTTCCTGTGACTTTTTTTCTTCAAATCACTCTCCCAAAAGACTGTATCACCAAGTATTTCCTCCAGCACTCTGTGTGTGTGTGTGTGTGTGTGTGTGTGTGTGTGTGTGTCTTCCTGCAGCCCTGCCAGTTCTGGGTTTGATCACTTGTATTTATTTTTACCAATTAATTGTTATGTAACAGAAGCTATTATCCTGGCATTTGCTTTGCAAATGAGAATGAGTGAAGTCCTTCCCTCAAAACTCATACAAATTAAGTAGCCATCACCTCTGTAGTTTAAAGAAACACTTTTCGGCTCCTTCTGTGTGCCAGCACTTGGGATACCCACAGCTGCCCTGAGGCTACAATCCAGCTGGCCGGCTCGAGCTTCACCTCCTGACCCACAGTTATCAAATAGTCCAAGAAGCCTCCTCCGGTTAATAAAGCCATTTACCTCCTCCCAACAAACTGAAAACGCATCAGTCAGCCCCCTTTCCCTGTGTGGTTTAGATGAATCCTGGCATTTCTTAATTGCCATATGTTGATTGTTCAGGATTGAGACACATTCTGGTTTCTATGCAAAAAGATTGCAGGAGACATGGCTGATGTTCTGTTCATGGCTTATTAAAACCTCAGGAAGACCCTAGCCGCCCTCCCAAGGGGAACTCAATAACAGGCATCCTGGTGGAGCCACGTCCTGGCCCCTCGGGTAACCCAAGAAGGCTGGGAGGGAAACTGACAGAGGATGTGCATACTTGACCACTAGATGGCACCTCTCAATAACTAATGGGGAGAGAATTGCTTCCTTCCAAACCTCCAGCCCCATTCCTGACAGCCTCCCCACCATGCATTGCAACACACCCCAGTCGTGTTTACTTCCAAGCCAGACATCTCAAAAAAATAAATAAATAAAATGAAAAAACAGAAAAATAAAAAAGTTCATTCTAGCTAAAAATACACCATCTGCCTGTGAAAAATCTTGCCCGGCGCTGTCATGTCAACACCCAAAGCAGGTTAATAACCGGCCCAGAACAGATGGTTTCTTTTTATAATTACTGGGTCCCCCCCACCACCAGCAAGGCTTCTTCCTCAGCTGCCTCCTTACCCTGCTGGCAGTCCCCTAGTGTTTCCTGGCCACCCCGCTGCCACCGCCCAGCCAGCTACTGCCCTGCCAGCCACAGGGGGCCAGCCCATTGCCAGCCCTCTGCTCAGGCCGTAGGACCCGGGGGCTTTCAACACCACCTGGGAAGACGGCTATCAGGAGGTCACCCCAGCCCTGTCAACCCCACTATCAAAGAAAAACTAATCAAGCCAAGATGTCAGTAATCACTCAACAAATGAAGTTTAAGACACTTATCATCCTATTTCTGGGTGAGGATACAGTGAGATGTGCACCCCCAAACCCTGTTGTGGGGAAAGCAGATTATTAACACTGACTATCTAGAAAGGATTTTGACAGAATATAACAGCTTTAAAAAATATTGCATACTGGGGTGCCTGGGTGGTTCAGTCTGTTGAGTGTCTGACTTTGGCTCAGGTCATGATATCATGGTCCATGAGTTCAAGCCCCGCATCGGGCTGTGTGCTGAAAGCTCGGAGACTGGAGCCTGCTTTGGATTCTGTGTCTCCCTCTCTCTCTGCCCCTCCCCTGCTAGTACTCTGTCTCCGTCTCTCTGTCTCAAAAATAAATAAAATTTAAAACGTAAAAAAATATATTGCATACTTAAAATTGTTTTTTTGGAGAGAGAGACAGAGAGTGTGGATGAACAAGCAGGGGAGGGGGGGAGAGAGAGAGAGAGAGAGAGAGAGAGAGAGAGAGAGAGAATCCCAAGCAGGCTCCACGCTCCGCGCAGAGCCAGATGCAGAGCTCAGTCCCACAACCCTAGGATCACAACCTGAGCCAAAATCAAGAGTTGGACACTCAACTGCCAGAGCCACTTAGGCGCCCCTATTGCATACTTTTTAATACACTAATTTCACTTTGAGGAATATATCTGAAAGACTATCGTAATGTAAAATATGAAACGAATGTTAACACAAAAATGTTCACTGCAGCAATGGAAACCATACCAGGGATATGGTTAAGTGTGATGGAATGTTATACAGCCATTACATATTTACAAGGAATTTTAAATTATATCACAAATGTTACTTAATGTTAATTGGTAAAAGTGTTCAAAGAGGCCTAAACAGTAAGAACACAAATATGGTGGAAATATGCACAGATAGCATTAAAAGGTTTGCATGAAACACACCAAATTTGTTAAGGGTGATATTCTGAGGGGTGCCTGGGTGGCTCAGTCAGTTGAGTGTCTGAATTTTTTTTTTAATGTTTATTTATTTTTTCAGGAGAGAGAGACAGAGCGTGAGCAGGGGAGGGTCAGAGAGAGAGGGAGACACAGAATCTGAAGCAGCTCCAGGCTCTGAACCATCAGCACAGAGCCCAACACGAGGCTCAAACTCACAGGCTGTGAGATCATGACCTGAGCTGAAGTCGAACGCTTAACTAACTGGCCACCCAGGCGCCCCATGAGCATCTGACTCTTAATTTTAGCTCAGGTCACGATCTCATGGGTTCCTGCGATTGAGCCCCATATCAGGCTCTGTGCTGACACCTCAGAGCCTGCTTGGGATTCTCTCTCTCTCTCTCTCTCTCTCTCTCTCTCTCTCTCTCTCAAAATAAACAAACATTAAAAAACAAAGAGTGATAATCTAGGCAGTAAAACATTATCCTTTTCTGGATTTTTCTAAGCTTTCATCAGCAAACACTAACAAATAAAAGGAAATGAATGGTTTTCAAAGACTGTTTAAAAACAGAGTTAAGGAATACTCTGGGGAGAGGACTGGAACAGGGGTCCCTGCAAGAGGAAGGCTTGCTTTTACATTTGTACTGTCTGACGTCTTCTAAGTTTTGTACCAGGCTGGTGTTACCTATTGAAAAATAAATAAATGAAGATTTTTTCATAGAAGACACAGAAATAAGAATACTAACACCATAGGAGCCGAAAGGAAATCCTGAAGGGAAAGTGCTTTTACTTCCTATGGAAGACAGGACTCAAGGTCTGGTCTGCCCTCTTGGGCCCAAAGTCCAGTATGGGTCACTCCAGGACCCGGCTAGTCAAGGGTGACTTCATTCAGCAAGGCCTGCTCCATCTGACCCATAATTGGTCACCCAACACTTGGGCCAGTGTTTTTCCAAGGAATCAAGGCAGGCAGGCCAGAGGGGCACTTCAGTGGACATCAGTATAGGGCTTCTTACCTAGGACCCCTGTGTCCCCTGGGCCTGGGAGAGTCAGGCCCACCCAACACATAAGTAATGCATGGGTGAGGCTTCCCCCAACTTCCCAATCACCCTCTGTGAGTTAGAAGAACCATCCAAATGGCCCCCTACCTGCACTCCATTAACTCAAACAGCACATCAATGACCAGTGGCTTAATCAGTTCCAGGGGTGTGGCCTGTGCCAGGGCACCTAACTTGTATTAGCTGAGGCCAGCTAAAGAGCACCTTTTCTGTGAGATAAAGGCTCAATCCTTCCTTAATCAGTGTGGGTTCTAATTCACCCTGAAGTTTCCTTTACACCAATGGAAGAGCTGGAACACTGGTTCTCCTTAGCAGGAGGGCCTCCTCCATACCCCCAGGGAGGCCCATGCCGTTTCCCATCAGAGAGAGCCCCAAGTTGCTGTCCTGCCCAGGGCCTGGAGACCTAAGGGGCATTCTGCAGGTGCCAGGGGAGTAGGGGAGGCTCAGGGCAGGGTGCACACATGGCAGCACAGGGAGGCTGAAGCAGGAAACCTGGAAAACTGGGTCTCAGGCACTGGACTTGGGAGGCTTCTGTCATCCTTTAGAGCCACAAATCCAGCATTCCCTTGCACTCCAGGTGTACGACTCTGGGTGTTACAAATGCTTTACACAAAATATGTGAGAAGAGGCCTGTTCAGAAAACATTTATTGCAATTTGATAACACCTAGTCAAGTTACGGTTCCAAAAACAAAGTGAATATAGTATTAAGGGAGAATTTAGGGTGGACGCATTTCCTAGATTCTATCAATTCAGAAAGAGCAACACTTTTTACTGAAAGTACTTAATTTGAAAAGCAAACCTCAAGAACTACCACGACTTTTCAGATGGGGAGAGTAAGCCCCTGGGACAGTGAGAGCCCAGGTATGCCACGTGGGAGAAGGGCTGGGGGCCTTGATGTTGTGGCTTCACTCAACATGCCGACCGCCCCTCCATGGAAGGGACACTTGGAAGTCACTGGCCAGGGAAGGGGCACATGAGGGAAATGTGATTCCCTCATGGGCCAGCTCCCAGGTCCTGAGACCCAGGGCCCCAGGGGAGAAACAGGTCCCGTTAACAGGTGCTTAGGACAGGCGTCCTCTAACAGGTGCTTAGGACAGGACTCCTTCACAGGTGGGGAGGTGGAACACAGGGGCCTTCCGCCACACTGCCTTGTGAGTAACAGTGGACCCGGAAAGCTGTCACTGATGTCGCTCTTCACCAGCCCTCCAGCCACAGGGTGGTCAGTGCATATTAGTGCACACGACCCCAAAACACGACGTCTTCATAAATAATCTCCAGAGCATGATACCGCGCCGCAGTAACCTCTCCAGCAGCTTTCATTCCACACAAGGTAACACACTGATGATGTGGGGCTTTCCCAAACCCCCTGTCCCCTTCTGTGGGTCTGAATCACGTACACGAGACCCCTGTGTCCCAGGAGGAACGACCTAGTCATCGTACTGAACTTCAGCCTGGAGTTCCTTGGTGACATAGTTCACCAGCATCGCCAGCAGCTGCTGCTGCAGGGCCTCACTGCCCATGACCAGCGTGGTCAGCTGCACGGCGTCCATCCACTCCAGGTGCCTGACGATGGCGGTGGCTTGATTAAAGAGTTTTTGCTGCTCAGCGGGTGGCAGCTCCATTAGGATCTGAGGAATTGGCTTAAACTGTCCGCTTGTCATCCATGCACCTAATAGACCCCCGACGGCCCCCCCTAGAAAACAAGGGAAGGCTTAATTAGTTGGGCCGTAATCGTAAATGACGGTCTCAGGTTCTTGCAGAGAGCACGTCCACCACCATGACGAGTAGGCACATTCAGGGAGGGCCAGAATGGGCTCGGCTCTGTGCCCGCTCTACCCCACAGTGCGGGGGGCAGAGGTTTATGTGGTCTTTAGTCCATTTGGGTCTGTATAATTGACACCCAAGCATGCCCTTCCTTAAGCTCTGCACGAAGCGTCTCCCACCTCATAGCTGTGCTAACTACAATCTTTTCCAGGGGCCGAAGGCTCCCATGCTTCCCACAAAAATCTCTCTCATCTGAAAGGAGAGAGCTGTGATCAAGTGCATTTTTTTTTTAATTTTTTTTTTCAACGTTTATTTATTTTTGGGACAGAGAGAGACAGAGCATGAACGGGCGAGGGGCAGAGAGAGAGGGAGACACAGAATCGGAAACAGGCTCCAGGCTCTGAGCCATCAGCCCAGAGCCCGACGCGGGGCTTGAACTCACGGACCGCGAGATCGTGACCTGGCTGAAGTCAGACGCTTAACCGACTGCGCCACCCAGGCGCCCCTCAAGTGCATTTTTAAGGAGAATTATCTCAGTGGTGAGGCAGAGTTTTCTCCATTGAGTGTCTAATATGCTCTTTGCCCCTGAACTTTGGAAATTTCTAGTGAAATCATGTGCTTAAAGGACCCTGGGGACAGATAAGGAGACCTTTACTCTTGAAACAACTATTTTTAATGCAACCCCTCCAGAGTTGTATGATGATAAATATCAGATTTAACTTACTCAACTATTTCTTTTCCAGCGGCCCCAAAAGGGCATAATCAGTGTTTTTAAATGTAAATTTATGATCAAATTTAAGGCACACGATTTGGGGACTTGATGTCCTTATGTCAATGGAAAGTCCTGTCTAATCAAGTGGGATGCAGGTTTGTTACAGAAAGGCACCCTGGGGCAGAGGTCTCAAACCCTAGTGCCTTCAGGGGCCAGGCAGGGGGCTGAGAGGAATGAGGAAGGCTGGGTGAGCCTGTGGGTGACAGGGAGCTGTTTCCCTATCTAAATGGGCCGTGGCCACCCCTTGCCAACCCATTGGTACTGCACAGAATGCTAGATTTGTATCTTCAAAAGGTCCCATGATTTTCAAATATCAATGACCAGGTACTTAAAATATGCAGCCCAGCTAGCTGGACATGACAACTCTCTTCCAACGAGTAGAGCAGAGCATGGAAATGGGAAACGGTAACTTCACAGTGGAGAAACCTGGCAAATACCACCTTAACCAGGTGAGCAAGGTGGGTGTCACCAGGGAGGCCCTGTGGGTGTCATGTGTCCCTGAAATGACACTATGAAATAGACACACCACCTCCTTCCATGGTCCATAACCCCAGGCTAATCACGAGAAAGTCATCAGGCAGACCCAAACAGAGAGGCATTCTACAAATACCTGACCAATATTCCTCAAAGCTACCCAGGCTGTGAAAGACAAGCAAAGTCTGAGAAACCGTCACAGACCAGGGGAGACTAAGGAGACATGAGGATTAAATGCAGTGTGATATCTTGAGCTGGATTTGGGGACAGGAAAAGTTCATTAATGCAAAAACTGCCAAAATCCAAATAAAGTCTGGAGAACAGCTAATAGTCAGGTATCAGTGTTGGCTTCTTAGTTTTGACAAACGTATCATTGTAATACAAGACGTTAACGTTAGGGGAACAGAAACTGGGTGAGGGATATACAGGAATTCTCTGCATGGTCCTGCCAACTTCTCTGTACATCTACTACTGCTCCCAAATAAGAGGTTTATCTGAAAGAATACAGCCCCGGGCCAGGGAGGACCCATATGTAGGCTGGACCCTACACACACGCCGTAAACCTGCACCCTCTCAAGAAGCACACCCTCCCCTGAGACAGAGACCAGGCCAACATCGAGTCCTGGAGCCTCAGCACTGCCCCTGGGCAGGTTCCCCTTCTGCTCCTAAGGCAGGGAAGATTCTGGGGAGGGAAAATCAGTAATTTACAAGTTTTACTGAACTTTTCCCCATGACACCCGTGAAGTGCTTAGAGTCGACAAGAGTTGCACACATCTGCACTAAACCTTTATGAGAACATCAATATTTGATTTAGAGCAGCACTTAATGCAAAAAGTCGCCAGGAATATCGACCAGCAAATTACTAACTCTTTGGAGAAGAGAAAATTCCTTTGTTTTCTGGGTAAAATGATACTCCCGCCCAAGATGCAGGGGCTGCAAGTAGCGAATCCCCCAGGATCTCTTTGCAGACATCCTGTTCTCCACCAGCTTTTACATAATCCGAATAAAATATATGCTCCCACAATGGCATCTGAGAACAGCTATATGATAAACGATCCTATCAAGACCGCCCCTGAGTGCACTAGATGGGGTGGGACAAAGATACAGAATGTCGCTGAGGAAAGAGGCAATGGCCTGCTCTCCGCCCTCACTGGCTGCTTCTTGGATGGTGAGAAGCTGAAGTCAGGACTCACTAATTCACAGTTTGGAAAGGGAAATGTACATGTGGAAGGTCTGGAGCCACCCACATGCTGATTTACTCCCCAGTGTGATCTCAGCTTCATGAAATGTCCTCGGATATGCCCATCCTGCTATAGAAAGGCAGAACAGAGCAGGAAGCCATGCTGGGGAGCTGGGAAACAGAAGCCAACCTGGCAGACACACAGTCACCTCTCCAGCCTATACTCGTGTACAGACAGGATTTCCACCAGACTCTGAGCTCTCCAATGTCCCCAGCACAGCCTCCCCAGCACAAGGCAGGCATTCAGTTAAGTATTCACTGAGCCCAATGCAGCAGACCATGTCTTTAGCCAATGCCCCTATGTTTCAGGGTCCATCTGAGGCACCTCAAGGGAGGCATAATCCAGCCCCTCCTCAAGTCAGGCCCACACAGCAGCCAGCTCACTAATGCCACCCTAGCCCACGGTTCAGGCCACACAGGAATTCTTCCTTCCTATTCCTAAGCCAAAGGAAGCAACCTCATCCTATCTCCAAGGAATGATGGGAAAATCAGCCAAACCTCCATTCATTGCCAGAAACTGGCTCTCAAATAGAAGCAGGTGGCAAAAGAAAGGGGCAGGGATGGCCACTCTAGCATAGTTTATTGCTGTTTCTGCATTAGATTGTTTGCTTTCAGAATGGGGCAGTCTCTCTGAATGGGCTTATGTAAAATGGCCAGACAGCATGTGCTCCTAGCAGGTGCTCAGCAAATCCCAGCCTCCTCCCTGGTTCCCTTCTGCAGTGATATGCAATGGTGACGGGGTTAGGAGACTATCCAAGGGACCCAGGACACCCCGATATCCTCGTACTCTAGGACACACCCCTGCGGGGAGAGGCATCCCCCAGGTCTGCATGACACATGCCATTTCCAAGAACACCCTGCACTTCTGACACATTCACACTCAGAAGCTGAGTTTTCAATAGGATACATTAGGTACACAGAGATCATTTCACAGAAGCAACTTGACTGAACATCTCACACAGGACAGAGACCTTTATGAGGTCTCCGTGGTCTCAAAGGCCTTTTTCACAACACCCACCAGGCTGGCTGCCCCTGCAAGGGATTCACGCTTACCAACAGCTAGCCCAGGTGGGCCTCCAACCAGGCCCCCGACGAAGGCCACGGCCCCTGTGACCAGGGCGCCCCTCCCAGAGTGCTTGACGGCCGCCTTCATTTTTCTCTCCTCGGAAATGGAGCAGAGCAGCTTCATGATGTCTCCTACCACGACGGGCATCTCGGCAAGCCTCAAAGGAAGCATTTCAGAGGGAGACTTTCAATGGGTATCAGTGTATTTCCACCCAAATGTTACTCTCCCTAGAGTTTTGAGGAAGAGTCCTCATTTTTCAGTAGAGAACAGTAGCTCCACCATACGCACGACCGACAGCACTCCGTCACGTGAAAAGTTGTCACAGACAAAGCAGGGTAGCATTTAGTTCACAAGCAAACAGAATCAGCAGAATGGGTGAAAGGTCTTCTTTTCTCTCTGCTTAACTTCTGACTTAGGACAGATTAAGGAGCAACCCCAACTGCAGGCTCTACCGGTTCACCACAAGTGAGGCAAGACTGACCTCTCTTGCATCAGCGACCGTCCTGCTGGCTCAGGCATCCCCAGTGTGCAAAGCCTGGCAGGGTGCAGAAAGTCCTGGCCTCAAGTCCTCTTTTGTGTGACAGTGCAACTGAGCTCATGCCAAGCCAGTAAAGGGGAAAGTGTTGGGCTGTGAGACCACACCGGCCTTGTGCCCGCACTTGCCCGCTGCATGACCCTGAGCAGACCGTCACATTCCTCACCTGTAATATGGAGACAAACCACCTACAAGCTGGATTCTTGAAAGGTATAAGTAGAATGGATGCAAAGTGGCCAGTGTGAGTCTGGAATACTGCAGGCCCTCAGACATGATGGCTCTAAATGGACATTCTGGGGGTGCCTGGGTGGCTCAGTTGGTTAAGCATCTGACTTGGGCTCAGGTCATGATATCATGGTTTGTGAGTTCGAGCCCTGCATCGGGCTCTGTGCTGACCGCTTGCTCAGAGCCTGGAGCCTGCTTCCCATTCTGTGTCTCCCTCTCTCTCTGCCCCTCCCTCACTTGTGCTGTGCCCCCCGCCTTAAAAATAAATAAAATGTAAAAAATAAATAAACAAATGGACATTCTGTTACTGACATACACCACTCCTAAACCCAATCCGGTTCTGCATGTGGGGTATCAAAGACAGAGACAGGATGACATGGTAATATGAAACAATCGGAGAATAAAATAAACCAAAGAATTCCAGGGGGTTGCATATGTTTGAACAGAGACAGATGGGCCTTTGGAACAATGACCTTAGAAAACTTCTCTGAGGTCAGGAAATTGTTTGCCATACTGGGGGAAACTGGCAGGCAGGCAGGGCAAGGGCAGGGTGGGCTCTGACCCAGGGTGGGCGTGAATGGAGAGCCACTACACTGATGGGCCACCTGCCTGGGCTGGGGGCTAAAATCAAAGCGGCCCGAGCTGGTGCTTCTCCTTCCTGCTTCAGCTGTACGCAAGACTCAGTGGACACTTCCTTTCCATCACTCCCGTTTTCACTCAGGCTGACACATTTGCTAAAGGAATGTTGCTAAAGGAACTTGCAAAGTTTGGGGCAGACCCTGTTGCTCAATATCTTTTGGTTACATCTTCTTTTTGGCCCAAGGATAATCCAGAACCAGCCTCTAGTGTAAAATTACCCTCCCGACCCTGGGAGAGCAATTTGAGCCCTTAGAACGAAGTCCGTGGGCCTGCTGGATCACCACAGTCAGGTTTCAGAACGTCTGTGCAGTCCCCAGAGAGGTAAGAAGTCTCCTGTGCTCTGGTCCCTGCAATATTCTTGAGATCAGTGATTCTCCTCAGTGCACGGGAACCACTGACGACCTTGCTAAGTACAGCCAGCAGGAGTGGGCTGAGATTGTGCATTTCGAACAGGCCTCCAGCTGGCCTTCTAACACCACTTTGGACAGCAAGACCCTAAGAGAGCGTGACCCGGGACATGTGACATCTCTTACTTAGTCCTCAAGTTCAGAAACTGCAAACAAGCATCCCCCGAATGGGTCTGTTTGACCAAGTGGGGTATAGAGGCAATGAGGGGCAGGCCCTGAAGGGCCGCCCGAGGGACTGGAGGAGAAGTCAGGATGCCCGTTCCTGCTTTGGCTGCATGTGTCCTGGACCCATCAAGGCACCTCCCAGCTTCCAGGCACCTTTGCTCACTACTGGCAGCCTCTCAGAGTACATGCTGCCCTCTCCTCCCTGGAAGGCAGCCCACTTGAGGGTCAAGACTTGTCCACTCACAACAAGTGTCACAAGAGTAAAATAGCATCACAAGAGCTAAGGGACTGCACACAGCAGAAGTCACTAAAACATGAGGGGATGGAGGGCGGGACTCGATTCACCCAGTAGCCATGGTCCTGTGAAGCTATGAAAACAAAATGAGTTTTATTTCAAATGCTCATTTATTTCAAATATTGATAACCAAAGGCATTTAATTTCATGGTCAAGCCTTTCAAAAAGCTAAAAACCCTCCTGTAGAACGTCTAATCATTGTATACTTTATATCTGGTTTATATCTAGCTTTTTATCAGTCAATTATGCTGGGGAAAGGGAGACAAAGCTCCCGTCCTAGGAAAGCCCCTCTGGAAGCTGCAGTGAGCTTCCCATTTCCGGGCACATGAAGACCCCAAGGGTGGTCTGCAAGGCTGGCCTCCTGGCCAGTGCACTCTGCCCAGACACCACTCCTAAAACAGGTTTTCTGCAGCATTATGATCTGCACTCTCGAAACCGTTTCTGCACAGCAAGAAAATGCATGTAAATGAGGCAGGAAACAGCCACATCACGCTCTATTGTCCATCAAAAAAACCCTAGCTTCCGACCTGCTCTGATTGACTTTATGTAAACCCACAGGGGCTCATAAGGCATCATTGTGCAAGTGCTGTTCTCAACCTCCACTTTGCCCAGGCAGACCAGCACAAGGCACAGGCCCAGGGCTCTGCAGAACTGGAGGACCAGCAGGTGTCACGGTGTGTGGGAGGGCAGGGGAAGAAGTGGCCCAACTCTGGCTGGGCTCAATAGCTCTACACCACAGAAAGCAGTGGCACTGTGGCTGCCTCAATCCAAGAGAAAGCTGGCTTAATTTCCTTGCAGGAATCATTTTAGAAGCTAGAGCATCAATAGACTCTTGTGGAAGAAAGGTTTGTAACCCCATCTCCTGAGTCCTTGCTAAAAAGCTCAGCCTCCTGACTTCTCCAGGCTTGCCAGATTGAGGGAGGAAGCAGTCCTGCTCCTTCTCCCACTCCAAGCTTGCCTTTGTCTATAAGCAACAGGGAAGTGAGGAAGGAGGAAGGAGGGAGGAGGGAGGAGGGAGGAAGAGTACTCCGATGGGGACAGACCTCAGAGGGTGGGAATGGGGCCTCCCCTCCCATATCACACCTATTTCAGAATCAGATTTGTCCACAAAACAGGTTCTGGTCACAGAAAGCCCATCTGCCAGCCACAGGGAAGGCAAATGCCAACTTGCAGCCCTGGTTTTCTCCACGCACCAGGCTGGTCTGCTGATTACAGCAAGGTTCTGGGAAAGAGGGAGATGAGCCCATCCCTGAGACTGCAGCGCGGCTTTTTGAGACGGACCAGATTGTGAGACAGGAGAGAGAGGAGGGCTTCAGCGCTAACACAGACCTCCATGCACCCTGTTTAAAAAACAAAAAACAAAAAATTAGAAAAGCAAGCCCCTAAGGACTCAAACAGAGATCTTGCTCACCTGCAATCTTCAGTACTTTCTACTCGTCTGTTGGAAGTCATCAACTTCCACTGTATGCACTGGCTCCTGTAAACCTGGTCTTCCTACCTCTGTATGCCCTGGGGCCAGGGTTACTCCTGGATCCCACCAGCATTGTCAGATTAGCTAATAGACTTTTTTTTTTTAATTTTTTTTTTAACGTTTATTTATTTTTGAGACAGAGAGAGATAGAGCATGAATGGCGGAGGGTCAGAGAGAGGGAGACACAGAATCCGAAACAGGCTCCAGGCTCTGAGCTGTCAGCACAGAGCCTGACGTGGGGCTTGAACCCACGAACCGCGAGATCATGACCTGAGCCGAAGTCGGCCGCTTAACCGACTGAGCCACCCAGGCACCCCGCCCATAGACTTTTTAAAAACTCAGCTGGTTGCCAGTTTTAAGAGATCTGATTTCACATACATCTGATTTCAGATTTCTCGTAAAAAATCGAAAGAGCAGGGTGCCTGGGTGGCTCGGTGGGCAAGCGTCCAGCTCTTGACTTCGGCTCGGGTCATGATCTGGCGGTTCCTGAGTTCCAGCCCCCAATGGGGCTTCACACTGTCAGTGCGGAGCCTGCTTGGGATTCTCTGACGCGCCCTTTCCCTCTTCCCCTCTACTGCTCATGCTCTTTCTCTCTCAAAATAAATAAATAAACTTAAAAAAAAAAGAAAAAGAAAAACAAACATCAAAAGAGCAAGCCGCCCTGGCCTATCTTCTTGTACCACGGAGGTCAGAGCAAAGCAGGTACTGCCTTCTCTCTGTCACAGGCCCGGGCAGAGTGACCTTACCTACCTACCTACCTGGCCCATGAACAGGCCGCTGTGCAGCCTCTCAAAGTCTGTTTCCTTTTTTCAAGGCTAAAGAAGCCACCTGTCCTCACCAAACTAATTCGCCCCTCCTAAATCATTGACATCCATTCGGGTCATCTCTAAACGGTCCCCATAGGGCGAGTCCAGGCGTGCTGACTCACCCGGTATCCTAACTAGGACTCCGTCCTGACCCCCCCCCCCCCCCCCGCCCCGCACCTGGGACACTGAGGAGGGTGATACCCACCCACCGGGTTACTGAGGAGGACACATACACGTGGGTAACTGAGGAGGTCACACACACACACACAAACCCGGGTCACTGCGTGGCA